CTGTGGCCCCCTGGGGTTGTGCAGCGCACAGCCACCACTGCCATAGGAGGGGGCCCAGTGCCATGGCCCTGGAGGGGTGGTCTTCTCCTTGCCCCACTCCTCTGTCGCCAGAGTCCTTGGGGCCTTTGGGCTCATCTCTGGAGGTGGAGGCTGCAACCTTGCTGCCAGGCACCTAGTGGGGCAAATAACAACAGAGCCTTTTGAGGGAGCTCTCAGGAATCGGTCCCAAGTGGAGGTGAACTATATGACACAAATTATCTCCAAGCATTGCATTACTCAAAAATCACCCTATAGAATGGAGATTTCAGATTGCTTTGGAGGGAGCAATGCTGTTACCATTCTGACTGCAGTGTGTTTGAACCAGTATTCAGCTGTCTTCACATTTACTTGAGTAAAATTGAAGAAGGTAACCTCAACAGGCCTTGGGAACAAATGAGACGAACCCAGGAAGGGAGCACCAGCTGCGAGTCTGCAGTGTGTAGAGTCGAGAATTGAACACAGGGCCTTCGCTGTTGGCTGTTTCTTAGAAAGGAGCCTGAGGCAGCATCTTATGTGCCATACTCTGTTGGGGAGTGCTGTCCTAGGGAAGTAAGAGTGAGGAAAAGGGAAGTGAGGCAGGGATGGAGGGGAGCAGATACAGGCTGTGGTATCACTGCACTGACCACAGCTTTGCGACTAAAACACAGCTGCTTGCTCAGGCACATGGGGTGTCTCCTGAGGAGCCACGTGGAGCCACCACATTTCAGAACAGATGTTAGGCTGGAGGAGGAAAGGCAAGCAGTGTGTCTCTAGTCTCCTTCCCGTCTCCCGCCTCTCATTGGTTGAAACCTACTTTGTGGGTGGGGCTTCCTCCACCCTCCTGAGAGGGTCCCCCGGCCCCTCCCACAGCCACCCAGGGAGCAGGAGCCTCTGCAGGGGCAGCCTGGGCAGTGCATAGGTGCAGGGGTCTCTCCCTGGCAGCTGGCTCCCCTGCTGGTGGCAGCAGTGGCCGTGGCTTCATGACTCTGTGGGACCAAACAGAAAAGCAAATGGCCTGAGGGGGAGGTAAGATGAGCAGACCTGGGGTGGCGCATAAGCCAAGTCCAGTTTCTTGAAATCAGTGCATGCTGCTTGCAAAAATGATCCTAATTTCAGCAAAGGATTTGGAGAGGAAAGGCTTGGGGGACTAATGTGGTCAGCCAGCATAACCTTTGTTCCCTTCATGGGCGGGCATATCGGTCCTCATGTCTGGCAAGAAGTTGAATGAAATCATGGTCAGCTGTCTCTGCTTTCATCAGGAACTGAATTTAAATTGTTCTAGGGAGGCTCCTGCATTCAGAATAACCCCAGTTACTAGGAACTTGGCTATCTCACACCCTTACTAATTAGGAATCTATTGCTATGGAACAAAATACTACAAACTTAGTGGCTTACGACAGCACATGTTTGTTATCTCACAGTATCTGTAGACCAGGGGTCTGGGCATAACCTATCCCAGTCCTCCACAGGGTCTCACATGGCTGCAGTAAGGGGCTAGCCAGGGCTGCAGTCTTACTGGAGACTCGACTGGAGAAGGATCAGTTCCAGCTTATTTGGGTTGTTAGCAGAACTCAGTTCCTTGCAGTTGCTGGATTGAGAGCTTCAGTTTCTTGCTGGGTGTTGGTCAGAAACTACTGTCAGCAACTAGGGGTCACCTGCAGTCTTTGCCACATGGGATTCCTCAGCCTGGCCACCGGCTTCCTCCAAGCCATCACAGGAGGAATAAAAGAGTCCAGCAAGGTGGGTGCCACCATCTCGTGTGACATAATCCCATCCACATACTCACGTATACCCTTCACCTTTGGCATGTCCTCTTGGTTAGAAGCAAGTCCAGGCAGGTCCCAGCCACACTCAGAAGAGGGGAAGATTCAAGGGCATGAACACAGGAGGCTGAGATCATCGGGGACATCCTAAGAACCTGCCCACCACACCTCATTTTATTAGAACTCTACTCAGAGGCAAAAGCAACAAATAATTAAGTAAAAACCACTTAATGTTTGTATCAGGAATTAAGTGTGGAAAAAAAGATAAAAAACAAAGCTCTTTGGGATGTGCTGAGTCCACTTATATCACCAACCACAGCTTCCTGATCTGATCCAGTAGAAAGATGGCACATGGTCAAGTCCATTCTTCCCCTGCCTCATTGCCTACTCCCCACCCCTGCCCACATGCTCTTTGTAAGGCAAAGAAATGGGCTCAATCAACAGAAAGGGAGTCCTAGCCTTATCCACTTGTCAGTATTTTAAAAGCTTTCCAACACTAAAAGGAACTTTTTCTGCTTAAATAGCAACAAGCCAGAACAATAACCTAGAAAATCCCCATTCCTAAAATGTTCAGGGAACCTGAGCCTGCTTGAAAAAACAGACAGAGCTTCTGCATCCCACGTGATGGCCATTCATAGACTTGTCACAGAATGAACAGCCGCTGACAGAAAGCTGTCATCTGGAGCTCAGATTTGGGACCATCCTGGTCCCAACCTGCAGCCATCTTTTCCTTGGGGCCTTTTTCCATTGCTTCTGCCCGCCCAGCGCCTGACTAGCCTCACGTATGCCCAGCCACTGTGTCAAGACGTAATTGACTGAGTGCCTCAAACCAGTCCAGGCTCTACTGAGCCCATCAGGGCAGGAACAATGAGGTAGCTCCTCAAAGGAGGAAGGTTATTTCTGAGGCTCATGGTTGATGGACCGCACTAGCTGTGATTATCATTTTAATTGCAAGGCCACCACCACCTTATATTCAGGGTGCAGATTTCAAAGACCACAAAGAACTCTGCAGGCTTAAAAAGGGACCATGGAAACGGTCTGTGCTTCAGACTACAAGGGGCCCATTATGACATCTTTCTTTCTTGGTCTCCACATTGCAACCAGAATCTCCCAGAAAGGAAAGAGCTCCCCCTCTGTTTTAAGATCTGACACAAATCCTACCTCCTCTGGGATCTCTTCCCCAGACCCTTACTCATTCCTGTTCTCTCCAGGACTCAGGCCCCTCGTCCCACTCCGCTACCTGAAACTTCCTTTGAACGCATCGCCCCTACCACACAGATTTGACAATGACAGCAATAACAAAAAAACCCACAGAATTCTGACAGCTCTTCCTATGGTGTTTTGAGACATTAAAAAAACCTCACACTCAATCTCATACTCTCCATGGGACACCCTGTTCTTAACAGGGAAGAAGCGTGTCTTAAATTTTGTAGAGATCCCTATTACTGGGGCTCTTTGTGCATTGGCAAGATTTTTGCACACATTGTTCTTTGCACTTGGCACATTTGTACTCAAAATATTTCCCCAGTTAAGTTCAATGTTGTAAGCTTTCCAGAGTACTCACAGCTTTTTAATTTTTTCAGGTAAAGAATATCACTTGTATAAAGCCCTTGTACTTGCACACAGTATGCTTCATGCATGTAAGCTGTTTTCGTGGCTTAGAGCTGTCAGCTTAAAAAATGCACAGCATGAGAGTTGCAAGTTAAATTTTATTTGGGGGCAAAATGAGGACTATAGTTCAGGAGACAGCACCTCAGATAGCTCTGAGGAACTGTTCCAAAGAGGCAGGGGGGAAGGTTAGTACACATGTGATTTTGGTAAAGGGAGAGTGAGTGAAGTCGCTCAGTCATGTCCGACTCTTTGCGACCCCGTGGACTGTAGCCTACCAGGCTCCTCTGTCCATGGGACTCTCCAGGCAAGAATACTGGAGTGGGTTGCCATTTCCTTCTCCAGGGGATCTTCCCAACCCAGGGATCGAACCCAGGTCTCCTACATTGCAGGCAGACGCTTTAACCTCTGAGCCACCAGGGAAGCCCAAAAGGGAGAGTACATGCAATCAACATATTTTTTGTAGATTTCTGCCAGTCACGAGGAGCAGTCATCACTGTGAAGGATTTTAGTGCTTTTCTACATATGAGATGATACAAGAATTGGGCTTATAAAACCCGTTCTGCCAGTCCCTTGAGCACAGAGTTCCTCATTTTTGCTCTCTACCCTGAACTCTTTTCAGGGGGTGTTGAAAATCAGCAGCTGCAGCAGCACATGATTTGATTTTTATAGAGGTAGATGGCAAGTGCCAATTTGTAGTTGATAGAACCCATCATCATTACTGATCTGGGGTTCACGATTTGACATACAAGCACCAAAGCCAAGATATATCATCCCATTCCATGTTTTGGTTTTTTGTTCGACGGGTATATTGAAGGATAAGGTATACTCAGTTAAAGCCACCCTAATGAGTGGACAGTCCACTGACTTTTGAAAAATGGATATAGTTGCTACTTAGCTTCTTCAGTTGTAAGTTCCAGCACATCATACTCAGAAATTCTTCATCCTGTCTGTGGTCTCATGCACTCTTTGTACTACTGTTGAGCTCCTTCCAGGAAAATGCCCCTTTTGCTCATCCTGACCAGTTTAGAAGCCACTTCCCAAAATGACTCTGATCTTGGGTTACAGCTCTCTTGAAGAAGCAAATCCACAGTCAGAACAGAGTTTCTCTGCAGGGATCAGGGCCCCGTGTATTGCTAAGAGTACTCACTTGGTTGCAAGAACATGAGACTGTGAATGAATCATAACTAACCCACTTGGATAACTGCAAAATTTGACAAGGGGCAAAGATGACTGACAGGACAGAATTGTTTATTTTTTTTTTTTTAAACATACGTCGAGTCCTGTCTTCATCGCCTCATCCATGGGGTGTGAGAACAGGTGGGATGGGTGGGAGCATGGACTGCAGAACATTAGGGCAGGGATGTCCTACCCTTCCTTATGTCCCCAGCACTTAGCACAGCTCAAGCTGGTGTCAAGTGACCGAGTAAGTGGTCTTAGGTTAGAGATGGAAGAGACCATGGTGTCTCAGGGTGGACTTAGCCATCACTCGTAGGTGTCTGAAGATTACGGGGAGAAGCACCACCAAGAGGATCCCCAACCCTGCTCTCAGGTAGGGCCCTCCCCTGCATCCCAAGTGACCTCAGCGACCCCCATCTTCTCTGCTTGCAGAACTACTTTGAGAGCTACCTGGCCATCGCCTCCACTGTGCCTTCTGTGCTGTGCCTCGTGCTGAACTTCCTGCTTGTCAACAGGTAGGCCACTTTCCTCCCTCTCGCAGGCCCCCTGACCTTCTCCTCCAGCTTATCCACTCTCCCTTGGTCCACAGCTGCCTGAACTGTGGCCGCCAAAGTAGGAGGCAAGCCGTTCAGACTCCTCCGCAAAGACTGAGAGTCAGATCGGTTACCCAGGGCCCTGCCGCAGAATGCCCAGTGCTGGGGCAGTGGGGTCAGCTGCCTGGGTGGCAGGGACACCGTGGATGGTGGGTGGGGCCCCAGGAGCAAGGCTTGTGGAGGCTGGCCTTCCCAGCCTTTCTGAGAGCAGCAGGAAGTTAGGAGCCTGGGGACTTCCCTGGCAGTCCAGTAGTTGGGACTCCACAGTTCCACAGCAGGGGGCACAGGTTCCATCCCTGGTCTGGGGAACTGAGATCCTACATGCCTCATGGAGTGGCCAAAAAAAAAAAAAAGAGCTGGAAGTTAGCCTGTCACCTCACCACCCCGGCTCTTACTATATGGAAAAGGGTCACCTATGTTCAGTGCCAAGCTGGTAACAGCAGCTCATGAGTCAAGCACTCACAAGGGCATTACTGGGTGACTTCTGACACTGCATTCGTGAAGGGCGGGATGCACTGTGGAAGAAAGAATGGTTTAGGAGACAACCCTTCAAACCCACTGTGTGACTGGTGCTATCCCTTCTCCATTTAGGTTTACAGGGGTAACCGCCTGAGTGACTTTGCCCCCATTTCTCCTAAGCTATCATTGTCTGATAACGGTGGCTATGTTATGCTTCAGAAACCTGGGCATCTCTCGGGCACAGCCTACTGAAATCTTCGGTCCCTGGGGGCAAACTTGTTTTATCCAACTCTGCTCAGTTTGTGGTGACTCCTTGGATCTCTGCTCGAACAGGATTCTAAAGCAGCTTTGGCCTCAGGGAGTGTGCTGTGACTGATTAGTGATGTCTGTTCGGAGTCTATGAGGAGAGAGGGCAGCACAGGTGCCCCAGGTGTGCTAAGCCTTAACAGGCCAGTCTTTCCAGACATGTTATGAGGTTATTCCAATGATCTATTGCATAAGAATGATCCCCAAACAGAGAGGCTAAAAACCCTGACAGTAATCGGTGTCTCTCGTGGCCCTGGGAGCCCACAGGCTCAGCTGGCAGCTCTGGCTGGCCGTCTCTCATGCGGGACAGCTCTTTCTCTGCCCCTCCCCTTGGTCTCTTGTAGGTTGGCCTCAGGTAGTGGGGCTTTTCATACTGTAACTGAAGAGCAGCTGCTCCTGGAGAGCAAGGCAGAAGCTGCTTGGTTTTGGTACCCTACTCTCTGCAGTGACATACTGTCCTTTCTGCCAAGGCAGTCACCAAGCTCACTCAGTTTCAAGGGGACGTAGACCCCATCTTTCAATGGAAGGAATGTCAGTGAATTTGCACGCCTCTTAAAACCAAAGTGCAGGCTGGACAAGTGAGAGGGAGGATGGTCTCGGGAAACCTAGGGGCTGAATGCCAGCTGCACTCCCCACACACACACACCTGCCTCCTTGCACCTGCCCAGCACATAGGGCTATGATCAGTGTCACAGCAGGGAGAGCATAGCCTCCAGGAACCATCCCAAGGAGGAGGTGGGGAATGGAGCTAGGAATAGGGCTGAGCGGGGACCCTAAGGGGAGAGCCGGGTTCCTGGCAGTGACTTAGAAGAGAAGGCGTGAGGAAAAGAAGGGTGTGGATAAGGAAGAGGTGACCGAGCCATGGCGGTGGGTAGTCCCTTGACCTCTCACTGCCCTCTCCCCTTTCCAGGCCCCTCTCATGATCCTCTGTGCAAAGTGGAAGTCAGCAGATGTGTGCCCAGGCCCACAGGGCCAGGAAGGGGTAGCCTGAGCTGACATCTTACCCAGCACTGCCCCCTCTGAGATCATGAGGCCCAGCAGGCAGCAGCCAGCCAGGACCTGGGGTCAGCAGTGCCAGGGCAGGTTTCGCCTCAGGGCCCAGGGCAAATCATCTCTAATCCTCACAGTTAGCAGTCTGAGCACTCAGTCCTTGGCATCATTCTCTCCTTTAATCCTGGCAGTGGCCTAGAGCAGCAGATTTATTCCCCTGTTTTATTGATGGGAAAACAGGCTGACAGAGGTTACCTGCCCAAGATCATGCAACCATTAAGAAGTAGAGGCAGGGCTGGAGCTGGGACCCTTCCCCCACATCTGGACTTGGAACCTCTGGGCCTTCTGTCTCCTAGCTCTCTAGCTTTGCGCCACCCGCCCCCCGGCCCCAGCACCTAGAAACACATCTCAGACCGTGTAAGTGAGAGCCCATTCTGCCCTGGCTTCGTTCGAGTTGCTGGAGGGAAAGAAGTGGTGAAGAAGGTCTGAATCTGTCTGCAGTGGGGACTATGGGCCATCCAGGTAGCTGCCCTCCTGAGGATGGCTGGGAGCTGGCTCTGGGAGCTCAGCATTACAGGGCATCCTCCAGAAGGGTCCAGTTCACCTCAGGGCCTGCCCTAGCCCTTTCCCTGCTGCAGAAGTGGGTGAGAGCACTGTGGGGAACACTCCAGCCTCTGTCTGTTTCTGGAATGTCGGAAGATGGTTTGGAGCTAAGCTGTTTTTTATTTAATGTGTGAGATTGAAATGTCCCCTTTTCTTCCCTCCTGGAGAACCCTGGCTTTCTCTAACTGGCTCATCCATAATCGCCAAGTGTTTTATTATGTAAAATCTGTAACATCATAAATACTTATGAGGAGGATTTACATTTTGGAGACTTATGAAGAAATCAGTCCCCTGGGGTCCTGAACCCTCATGAGCAAGGGAAGGGGGTGGTGCTGGCAGCCTGGGTACAGCTAGTGATCCGCTCCAAGAATGTCACATCAGTGTGGCCTGCCACACAGTCCTGGGACTGGAGCTCTCACCTCAGACATCCCCTGTCCCAGAGCAGAGCCACCAACGCCAGGCTGCACTTGTCTAGACATTCCCTCACACCCCCATGGTGTCCCCAGCCCCTGGGCCACCGTCCAGGTGGAAAGAGCAGAGAGTAAGGCAGCATGCCCCTGTTCGTGGATGTGGGGTGGGCTTGCACAGGGGACATTTCATAAAGCTTTCCTGGCATTGAAAACAGCCCTGGGCAAGATCCCTGCGGGCTCGGAGCCCCTGTAGGGATGTTCCTGCTGGGAAGGGTCCTGCAGTTGATAATTAGAAGGAGGAGATCTGTGCAGGTGAGGGGCAGGATGCATAGGGAGAGTTGGGAGAGTTGGGAGCTGCGTTGCTTTTGTTATGCACTTAGTGTTTACCTCCTCACCTCCCACTCTGCACCTCCGCCCCCGCCCCCCTCCTCCCCACCCTGGGGGTGCCTGGGTAAGAAGTCCCCCAGCTGTCTCCAAAGCCACTGTCCTGTTCAAGCAATTATCTACCTTGTTGTGAAGACACAAGAAAGTTTCCGAGATGCCCGCAGCATTCCTGGGGTGGACTTTTTCTGTGTTGCTCCTACGAGGAGGTGGTGAGAGGCCAAGGCCATTCCCAAGCCTGGCTGAGGTTGCTGCTGATGTTTCCAGCTGTCTCCCTGCCACACTGAGGGTGTCGAGAAGCAGGGACTGAAAGGGAGCTTGAGGCCCAGCATGCACTGCTAGGCTCCTTGCTAGTCAATCTGTGGGTCCAGCAGGTGTTTACAAGTGCCTGCCAGGCCCTGTGCCAGCCCCACCGGTGAGAACAAGGCAGGGTCCTGTCCCTATGGGGCTTCCTGCTTCTGTTGTGCCTGCTTCTTGCCCCCAAGGAACTGCTAAACTTTTGGGCTTTTGTCTTCAGTCTCTCTCTCCACTTGAATTTTTTCAGATTTAGAAGAAAACTGGAATGTTATCTTGTCCCACCTCTCCTTTTTCAGGATGAGGAGACTGAGGCCCCATGAGGTTGAATGTTTGCCTGGGGTCACACTGTGAACTGGTGGCAGAGTTGGCAGGGCTCCCGTCTCTGGACTCAGGCTCTGTGCCCCTGTGGCTCTTATCTTTGAGTGTGCAGGGAAGCTCCCGCTGCTGGAATAATGTGGGGGACATCGTGTGACAGGGGCTACATGTATAGCATCACCTCGAGCATCAGGAGTAAGGCCTGACTCCCAGTCTTCAGGGTACCTAGTGTGCATTTAAAATGGACTTTCTGGGCCCCCTGGAGTCCAGATGCTCACCTGATTGCCCACCAACTCCTGCCCAGGTCGAGGGCTCTGCAGATGCTAGGAAGATGTGTCTAAGGAGTTTCTCAGAAACAGACCTTAGAACAAGGATTCAAGTGCAGGTTTGCTTGGTAGGAGAAAGGGGGAGACCAGGAAGGTGTGGCAGCCAGTAAAGGATGCCTTGTCAAGCCAGTTCCCACTGCGGGTGACCGAGCTTGACCTGCCCCAGAATGCTGGCAGCCAGTGTGGAGCACACACTCGAGGCGAGAGGGAGCGGGGGCGGGGGATTTATCCACCCACTTTCCCATCATTGGTTGAAGGCAGCTCTTGGGAGGTGTTAAAAACCTAGACAGCATATTAAAAAGCAGAGACATTACTTTGCCAACAAAGGTCCGTCTAGTCAAAGCTATGACTTTTCCACTGGTCATGTATGGATGTGAGAGTTGGACTATAAAGAAAGCTGAGCACCAAAGAATTGATGCTTTTGAACCGTGGTTTTGGAGAAGACTCTTGAGAGTCCCGTGGTCAGCAAGGAGATCAAACCAGTCCATTCTAAAAGAAATCAGTACTGAATATTCATTGGAAGGACTGATGCTGAAGCTAAAACTCTAGTACTTTGGCCACCTGATGTGAAGAACTGACTCACTGGAAAAAGCCCTGAGCTGGGAAATATTGAAGGCAGGAGGAGAAGGGGATGACAGAGGATGAAGTGGTTGGATGGCATTACCGACTCAATGGACATGAGTTTGAGCAAGCTCAGAGAGTTGGTGATGGACAGGGAAGCCTGGCGTGCTGCAGTCCATGGGGTCGCAACGAGTCCCAGTTGGTACTCTTGGTGACAAACGGAAGAGACACAAAAAGGATTTTCTCATTCTTTCCCTGGAAAATTAAAGTCAGGCCTGCCTCTGTTGCTGGATCTAGGAGAGCACTGATGTCCTTATCCACCAACCTTGGGCTGTGTGTGTGTCTGCTTGGCTTCATCTCAAATGGGGCCTCTCTCCACGCAGCTGGCCAGATAGTGACCAGCAGCCCCCAACTCAGTCTTGGCAGACAGTCAGCTTCTCTCCACCTTTGAATCCCAGGGTTCACTCACTGGCCCTGCCTTGGTCACATGCTAACACCTAACCCAATCCAGTGGCTGGAAGTATGGAACACTGATCACCCCAGACTGGCCTGTGTGCACTCATTTGTAAATGGGTTGGTGTAGACACCATGAGTGGCCACCTCTGCAGGACAACTTGGCATGGAAGGAGTGCTTCTGGTGGGAGGGATGCTGGCAGACAAAGCCTGCACGTCCACTCTCTGCTCCACCCTGAGATCAGGTCTTGGCACTTATCCATGGGACAAGGCCCTCTACGGAGGGGTCCCTGTGTCTGTTCGGCGTCCTCTGCTCCCAGTGTCACCTGCAGCCAGGGTTCACTTCAATTCCCTGAATGTTCCACGCTCTGTCTCACAAGATAACATGCAATCCCATCCAGGCATACCTTACACTCAAGCTTAGGGATCACCTCCAAAAAGCCTGTGAGAAGCCCAGGGTGGGTCCTGTGCCCCTCATAAGTGCCCAGGAAGCCCCATGGCCCTGCCAATGGAACACTTTATGCTGGAACAAAGTGCCCGTCCCTCATCTGCCCTGTGTCCTGGGCCTTCAGCCCAGGGTTGGACACACTGTGGTTGGCCTGTGTGTGGAATGAACACACCAGAGTGGATGCGTCTCTGCAGAGAGCCAGGGGCTGGGGCTCAGCACACCTGGGTCTCACCCCAGCTCCTCACACCACAACCTTGAGCTCTCCGTTCACTTCCTCAGGCTTCCTTCTGCCCCTGACCCAGCGGAGGCAGCACCTGGTCTCCCTTCAGCCGGAGATCGAGGATCGGAAGGAAGCTCAGATTAGCCTTGGGGCCACAAAAGCACTTTGAAAAAATCCTTTCTTGCTTTTTATGCTCATCATTTCACACCTATTTACACATGTACAGATCTTTCCTACCTTTCATGTCTTTCTTATTTTTATCCAAAAGAAATTTGTGTATAACTAATCTGGGTTTTCGCTCGCTCCCTCCCAACTGGTTAGCGGGAAAATTAACTAAACATCCAATCTGGTTTAAAGCTTAGTGTAATCTGATGATTTAAACAGCCTCTTCAGATGATGTTCTCTCCCTGGAATAAAAATGCAGTTTCTCAGAGATCCCAGCTTCCCTGCTTCTCCCTGCAGGGTGATGTCTGGGCAGTTTGGGGGCTGGGAGGAGTGTACAGCCTAGATGCAGAAATAGAGTTAGTGGGAACTGGTTCTTGCTTGGCCTCAGCTGCTTCCCATGATAGCTGAGACCATCACAGGAGCCTCCTTCTGTCCTCAGCACCTGTTCTGGACCACCCATAGTTCCTTTGTGTCAAGGGAGGCAGTAAAGTGGCATTCTGAGAGCACCGACGGGAGCAGACCTCCTGGGTTCACAGCTGAGTGACCTTGAGCAAGTTGCTTAGCCTCTCTGACCTCAGTTTCCTTATCTGTGTCTGTGGGATAGGTAAGAATACCTGTTTTGTAGAACTGATGTAAGAATTCAACACATTAGCATTTAGAAAACACTTAGAAGAGTACCTGGCACGAATGAAGTACTATCTCAGTGTCTGCCGTGATGATGATGACAGCGATGATTCTCTTCCCTTCTCCCTCCTCCCTCTGCCACTGCTAAGTTTTGGGGAAGGAAGCCAGTGAATGGTGGTTCTGTTCAAATACTAGACAAAGCCAGTGGGAGGAGTAGGGGTTGTGCCTCGCAAGCTCTCATCTCCTGTCCTTGAGCATCACAGCAAGATGAAAAGAAGCAGCAACCAAGAGCATGTGCCCCGAGCTGACACTGCCTCCTTTCTCTATGTGCTCCTCTCTGGAGACCCTAACCGTGCCTACAGGTAGATTGATCTTCTTTCTGTTTTAAGGATGCGGAGGCTGAATCCAGTGTGATAGAGTCTCTTATCCAAGGCCACACAGCCTGTGAGCCAGGAAGGCAGGATTCAGACCCAGGCCTCCTGAGTGCAGAGTACATGGTCTCAGCCACTGAGCACACCTGCTTTCCTTAAGAATGGTCACTAACCCCCACCCAGCTTGGGAGGCCTGGGGGCGGGGTGTCTCTAACCACTTCCGGTATCTTTGCCTCAGGGTTCCGATCCGTGTCCGCGTGCTAGCCTCGCTGACAGTCATGCTGGCCATCTTCATGGTGATGACCGTGCTGGTGAAGGTGGATACCTCCTCCTGGACCCACAGCTTCTTCACCATCACCATCGTCTGCATGGTGATCCTCAGCGGCACTGCCACCATCTTCAATAGCAGCGTCTTCGGCATGACTGGCTCCTTCCCCATGAGGAATTCCCAGGCTCTGATATCAGGTGAGAACCAGGGTCCAGACAGCTGACCAGGTTGGACTACCTGGGGATCATTTGAAGGAGGTGAAGGGGATCATTGCTCAGAGGTGAGCATGTGGTATCCCTTCCAGAAAAAGAAATCAGTGTTAGATGTGTTTCCATGATCTGTTATTACAGAACAAAGCACCCCAAGCTCAGTGACTTAGAACAGTAAGAATCATTTCTTTGGCAGGGGGCAGCCATGTGGCCTCGGCCAGGATAGCTTGCCTGGGGCTGGTGGCACACTCACCTGGCCGGCATGTTGATGCTGGCTGTTAGCTGGAAGCTCAGGTAGGGTTGGGGCTGGGGCCAGGGTTCCTCTCCACATGGACATACCCATGGCCACTTGAGCTTCCCCAGGGCGTGGCATCTGGGTTGCAAGTGCAAGCATCCCAAGAGACCCAGGCAGAAGCACTATGTCCTTTTATGACTTAGCCATAAAGACATTTAGGGGCACTTCCACTATAGCCATAAGCCTACCTGGATTCAAGGGGAGAAATCACAGACCCTCACACCTCAGTGGATGAGTGTGAAAGTTATACTGTAGAAGGACAGTTGTGAGGGGAGATATAGTTGCTGCTACTTTTGGAAAATATAGTCTGCCTGCCCAGTGGGTTTCCTGAACCAGCGTTCCTTTCTTTCCTTCCCTCCTCTCCCCCTTTCCTTTTTGTTTCTTTTTCTTTCTCTTATCCTTTCCCCATTTTTCTCTCCTTTCCTCCCTTCCATTTGTCTTTTCTTCCTCTCTAATTTTGTAGAAAACTTACAGTGCACCAAGGATTCAAGAATGAATGAGACTCAGCCTCCCGGGAGCCTAGTAATAAACTCCTCTGTTTCCCTGAACTTTGGCATTTTCTGGGGGGTGCCGATGTGATTTGGGCCAACTCCTTTAACTGAATGTTGATGCTAACCTGAGCCTGTTGCCTAGAGCTTAGTAGTTCTGTTCTCTCACCCAAATGTCTTGACAAGATAAAAAGGAGCTGGGTCAGAATCAGTGCTTTTCCAGGAGACCACCATCCCTTAAAGCAAGACTAGGGGCTCAGCTGCTCTGTTCAGTGTCCCTGCATGTCTGTCTTGTGTGAAGGAGTGCTGTAAATGTTTGAGAAGAATTTTGCAAAGAATCCTGTCTGTGCCCATTAATTGATAATGCTAGTAGTATGTGATGACAAATACCTCGACAAGTGTATGACTCCACCCCATTCCCACACCAGGGCCAGACATCACTGATTGATCTGTATCTTTTCCTAAACTTCTAAATCCTTCTCAACATAGCACTGGAGACACTTACTGTCAACAGATCAGAGATCAAACTTGAGCTCAGATATGTTTGTCATTTTTGATATAAGATTGGGCTTCTGGCTATATCCTCAGATATGTTCTCGGGCCTGAAATAAAATAAAAATGGACCCATTGCTAAGTTTCCTGAGTACAATCAATACACCCCTTGTAGTGCTTCAAGCAGGGCCTGCCTAGGCTGAGGGAAGTGATCATTGAACTTTGGATTTAATCCCTTATGTCACCCCGGTTTCTTTCTTTCTTTTTTTTTTTTTTTCACCCTGGTTTCTTGTCCCCTCATCTCCCTCTATCGTAGGAGGGAGGATGTATACATCCTAGAGGATGTATTTTTCAATATAACAGTCTTGCTGGCTATCTCTCCAGAAACCAGTGACCAAACACACCAATATGTTGGCAAGAGGCCTTTCAGGTTCATCTGACCACCTGCAGATCTTCCAGAGAAGGTGACTCTCGGGCATTTTGCAGGAAGTCCATTTTTGAAAAAGTGGAGTAATCTGGTACTCGCACTTGGGCGTTCATTACCCTGGGCCCTGAGCCTTGTCTTCACTGTGTGCAGCCCCCAGTGCACACCCTTCACCTGGGATTTGGGGTGTCCGGCTCTCCCAGCGGCCCCAGCACCACTCTCCAGCCCCCTTGTCTTCTGTCCAGAGGAGTCCATCTGTGAATTCACTGTGTGTTGGCATCTGAGGAACAATTCATTTGTTTTGTACTGGTGTTTTTTTAAGCTCCTCATTTGCATGTATTTCCATAACTGATGAGATAAAAGTAGGGAGTCAAGAAGGATGAGCTCCCGGAGGCCTGGTTTGTTGTTGATGATAATATTGTAAATTCTCTACAAGTTGGGAAGAGAGAGAGGAAAGTCAATAGGCAGTGATGTTAAAATCTCTTCCTCGGGGCAGCCGGGGAATGTCTTACCAAGTTTAACTCCGGTTCTTACAAAACACCCAGGTGGGGATTACAGCTTCTCAGAAGTTGGCACCCTTTTGGCAAAAGGTTTACCCTGTTGTTGCTGCTTTGATGTAGGAAGGACAGAAACAGCCAAACACCTATTTGGGGATCAGAAAGGATTTATATGGCATTTCTCAGCACCAGACACTGTCTTGCTTTACATGCAATGATCTTTTCAATCTTTGTAACTGCCCTAAGAGGTAAGTTTTAACATTCCCATTTTACAGACAAGAAAGTGGAGGCATAGAGAGGTTAAGTGATTTGCTGAAGGTCACACAGCTAGAAGTGGTAGAGCCAAGATTGGACTGAGATGTTTTTAGAGTCTGTGCTCTTAATCACTATGCTAACTTTCATTTCTTTGCCCTTCCTTCATGTTCCAACCTCTGACCCCACGCAGGCTAGTAGAGATCACAGAGAAAGTTAGGGAGAAAAGGGTTGTGGGGTCTTCCCTGCAGAGCCACAGAGGTGGTGGGCTGTGGTGTGGGTGAGGCAGTGAGGATGGCCATCATGGTGGATGAGGGGCTGACCATCACTTTCCCACCACGGCTCCACACAGCAGTGGACAGAAAGGTGGTATCTGGTCAGGCCTGCCGAGTAACGACAACGCAGCTGGTGCCCGCTTGGACCAGTTGGCCTTTTGCAGTCAGTGGCCTTCTTGCCATTCTCAACACTTCTTGAGAATCAGTGTTGTGATCCTCTAAGGCCAGCAAATCCATCCACGCAGCCAGGCAATCCTGTATTCACAGGCCCTGACCGTGTTAATCCTGTTGGACATGTCCATGTGTTCAGTGTTTTTCCCATTCATTGATTTCATCCCACTATAGTCTCAAGGGAGGGATAGGATAAGTATGAGCCCCTTCTTACTGGCAAATAAACAGGCTGAGAGGAGTAATGATCTGCTCACACGTGACCGTGTATAAGCTCTGACTCGTGGCCACCCACGGCTGTGATGGCCCAACAGAGAAACAAGGTGCATGCCCTGCCTCCCAGAAGTGACTGTGTGATGGTGGCAAAGAAGGGGACTGGCATTTGTAGAAAGCCTGCTTTGTGCCGGGCCCTTTCTAAATGTCATCTCATTCAGCTCTTAAAGCAGCTACGCAAGGCGGGTGTCATTGTTCTCACTTTACAGATGAGCAGACTCTGGTCCCAAGAAGCCATGTGAGCCCCCAGGTCACAGCGAGTAAGTGGTGGAGTCAAGCGTCAGATGTACATATGTTTGACTCCTGGACCCGTGGGTCCCCTGGGCTAGGATGTGCTGCCTCCTCTGTGACGTGGCACAGAAAGTGTGGTGCCACGTGGTCACCTGGGCCACCTGCCAAAGCCCTTGGCAGCACAGCACATTCCAGGCGGTGGGGCAGTTGCACACGTATGAGTATGTGATAGCATCTTGTGGGAGTATATGTGAGTGTGTGTAATAGGGTGTGAGTGTGTGTTTGAGATATCTTGTGATAGGGTGTGTTTGTGAGTATATGTGTGTATGTGAGCAGTGTATATGTGGATGAGTGTGCATGTGTGTTCATACATGTATGGTACACAGCTACTGTAGGGCACAGGGTGAGCTCTGTGGGCTCTTGGCTGGTTTTCCAGCCCTTAAGGCCCCCCAGTTGGCCAGCCTCACTCAAGGCATCAGAGAACCTGTGCTTGGACAGGACAGAGCTTTTTCCCCAGAGTGATTCATGGGTGGTTGGGCCCAGGGCAGGAGAGGAGCTCTCTGACATGTCCCACCCCAGAACCTAAAGTTTCTGACCCCATCAGAAGGACAGTAAAGAGAGAAGGAGGGTCAAGGGTCAGAGCTGAAACCAGGAAGCAGGTGAGACCTTGGAGGCCATTTGCCTCTTCAGGCAGCAGCCTCTTCACGCCCATCGGAGGAGCTGGGCTAGAGACACCTCCATCGAGTCAGAAAGCTCACGGCTGCAGGGCCCTCCTTGTCTGCCAAGGCCTCGGGGTACTGTGAGAACTGAAGCATCTCTCTCACCAGGGAGAATGTTAAGCCGGAGGGCCTGAGAGGCAGGGAGGATGCACCCACCCTGACCTTCCCCGTGATGTCCCGCACTCTCCGCAGGAGGAGCCATGGGGGGCACCGTCAGCGCCGTGGCCTCACTGGTGGACCTGGCGGTGGCCAGTGACGTGACAGACAGCACCCTGGCCTTCTTCCTAACAGCGGACATCTTCCTGGCGCTCTGCATCGGGCTCTACCTGCTGCTGCCGCGGCTGGACTACGCCAGGTGAGGCCCACACGTGCTCTCTGGCAGCGCGTCAGTCTCTTCTAGATTCACCTCCTTATAAGCCATTACAGGGTATTGAGTAGAGTTCCCTGTGCTGCACAGTAGGTCTTTATTGGTTATCTGTTTTTTATATGGTAGTCTGTACTTGTCAGTCTCACAGTTTATCCTTCCCCTCACCTTACCCCTCAGTAACTGTGATTTTCTGCATATGCAACTCTATTTCAGTTGTGTAGATAAATCCATTGGCCACCTTTTCTTAGATTCCACATAATAAGCAATAGCATATGATACTGTGTGGCATCCCGCTACCTTTATCCTGTATGCCTGCACTCTTCCTGCACTCTTTCCTGATTTATTGCACATCTTCCTGTTGAAGTGTCATCCCTCTGAGGGCAGAAATCATGTGGGTTTTGTTCATTGCTGTATCCCATGCCTCAGGCTGAGCCAGGCTCACAGTAGTTGCTCAGTAAGTTGGTTGGGCCCTTGGACGGAAGAAGTCGGCTTTGTATCACAACCCCAAGCAGCTGGAGTCTGCATGTTTTCTATTAGAGGGCAGGCAGCAGAAGTGGGACCTGAGGAAGGCTGATAACCAACAGTAACTCCTTGGGCTGAGCCCTTCCATTGTTCCTCTCTGCACTCAGCCCAGCCTGCTGGGGCCTCACATTTAAAGCTCATATATCTACTCCTTGGGGCAGGGCTGTGACTTACTGCAGTTATTCCCACTCTCACATGAGAAAACCAGGCTCAAAGAGGTTAAATTACTTGCCTGAGTCCTGCAGCCCTTTGGCAGCAGAATCAGGATTTGAGCCCAACTCCAAAACTGTGTTTTTAGCCCCTGTCTCTTGAGGCCCCTCTCTGCTCTGCAGGACCACTTTTCTTGCTTTAGTCTCTCTTGCTTTCTCTCTCTCCTTCCTCCTTTTTCTTTCTTGCTTCATACTTCTCTTTAAAAAAAACAACCCATGACATTTTCTTGCTTTTTATTCTTTTCAATGCATTTTCACATCCATTGTCGTATTTGATACAGGAATGGCAGGAGTTATTTTCCCCATCTCACAGGTGATGAGATGGAGAAAGAGAAGGCCAGGTGACTGGCCTCTGGTCCCATGGCGCACAAGCTAGCAGAGCTGGGGAACACACAGGTCCTGGCTCTGCCGGATCCACAGGAACCTATTTGGTGTTGGGGCGCTGAGCTAAGCAGTTCATTTTTTTCACAAAGGCTACATGACCACCTAGTGCAGTTGTTATCATATTTTCCCATGTTACCAATGAGGAACTGAGGCTTTAGAGAATTAACCAACATCCCCAGGTTGCTCAGCTGGTGAGTTGTAGGCAGGGATTGGAACCCGGAGCTGTTTCTGGGCTGCATTCTTTCCACTGCTTCATGCTGCATCCCTGGCTTGTGACTGCAAGGTCCTTCCTCCCCACTCATTCCTCCTGTCCCTGTGAGACTCACCTGCCTTCATCAGAACCCCAACTCTGCCAGGGACAGGTTGCTCCCCCCAGTTAGAGGATTGTTACAACTTCAGCTGGCCCAGTGGCCTCAGGATAAAAGGGGATGGAGTGATGACACCAAGTACCATAGGTGACTTCAAATCCATGAGTCTGCCCCTCCCCTCTCTGACCCTTCAGGGTTGTCATAAAAAATTACCCAGTTGTATTCCATGATGATGTCCCTGTGATGCCTGGGGTCTGGCTGGCTTACTGTCACCAAGCGCCCCATACATTAATACTTCCTGGCACCTTGTTGGTGCTGATTAAGTTATTTGAGTCAGTGAACAGAAGGCAGGAGGCTCCCCAACTCCTTCTGCTGTTTCCTGTGTCCTGTTTCATGGAACCTTGCATGTGCTGTTTCCACTGGAGTGGCCAATCTTCTTTGTTGGCCTTGGGGCTGAAGGGGTCCCAAGGACCAGGGACTTTCAGTGCTAAAACCAGGACAGTCTCGGGCAAAACAGGACAGGTGGTCACCCTAGTTTTCAGAGTCGCTTAAGCACACCAAAATGCCTTCCAGCTAAGCACATGAGACAGCATACCCAGGACTCTGCCAGCCCGTGAAGCTTCTATTTCTTTGCTGATTAACACTTTGGTCAAGACTTTTGGGCTTACAGAAACTCATCTGAGGATGGAGCTTTAGAGCAGCGCCCCAGGGCTGCTCAGACTAAATTTTACTTGAAAGGAGCCCTAGGTTGCTACAGGTTGCTGCACCCAGTGGGGCTGGCCACACTGCCCCATCACACTCAGGAGGAACTGAGCCTCACACAGTGTTGGAGTCTGCTGACCACCTCGGGGGCAGTTAGATCTGGAAGAACTTATGGGGAAGAGCTTCAACCAGAGGAACTTTATGGGGAGCTTCCTCAGAGTCAACTAAGGCAAGGACTTGACACTGAGTAGAAGGGGAAGTAAGAATAGCCCTTTCCCTAAATAGTGATTGGGAAACAAGACGGTTCAAGGCCAAAGTGCCCAGCTCAACATCACATGGAAAAGTGATTCTGGAGAGGAACCCGCCCACTGACTTGCTCATTGACAATATTCAGCCCATAGGATAGGAAGGCTGGCAAGGATCTCAGAAGCTTATAGCTACAGAACCCTCCATTTTACAGAGGATGAAACTGAGGCCCCAAGAGGCCTCAGTCACAGACTTGGCCTAAGGTCACACGGGGATGCAGAAGTAGGGCTGAAACCAGAACCCAACTATCACCAACCTTATGTTCTCCCCAGCCTCACCCAAGTCTTCTGTTTAAGATATGTTAATACATATTGGGGCTTTCCTGGTGACTGAGATGGTAGAGTCTCCATCTGCAATGCAGGAGACCTGGGTTCGACCCCTGGGTTGGGAAGATCCCCTGGAGGAGGGCATGCCAACTCACTCCAGTAATCTTGCCTGGAAAATCCCCATGGACAGAAGAGCCTGGCCACCTAACAGTCCATGGGGTCACAAAGAGTTGGACACAAATGAGCAACCAAGCGCAGCACAGCACATGTTAATACAATCAGCCTGTATCTCCTGGCTTTTAGGCACCCAGGGACCAGAGAGGTTGAGTGACTCAGGCAATGCAGCAATGCAAAGAGAACTTAGCCTTTTCTACTCTGGTCAGAGTAGAAGAAATTGAAAAAAATGATCATATTCAGTATTGAGAATATGGGGGAAAATATACTTTTATAGGCTTATCAGTTCTTTCAACAGTTTTGTTTTGAAGGGTTATTCTCTGCCTAGAGATTTAGCTGGGAACAGCCATACATGTCCTTGCCCCAGGGAACTGTCTTCACTTCAGGGAGACAGATGATAAACCTGTAAACCAACACAATGAGTATAAATTGTGGTCAGTTTTTTCTAAAGAAACAGGTGCTCTCGTGGAGATTGAAGGGTTAGGTTACATTAGTTTGGGTAGGTAGGTGGCACAAAGCGGAGATAAATTGGTTCTACCTATCCGGAGAGCAGGTTATCAATATCTATCAAAATTTTAAAGATTTTAAAGCAATTTTAAAAATTGCTTGTGATCCATCAGTTCTTCTAGAAATCTGCTCTACTGAAATTCTACACAAAGATTTATGTATAGGGATATTCATTGTACTGTTATTTATAGTAGAGAAAACTAGAGCTAACCTAAATGTCCAGCATTAGGGGAGCAGTTAAATTGTATGTACATACAGTGAAATACTCAGTGGCAACACAGCATAGAGGCAGAACCATGTGTCCCTGTGTGAAAGGATGGACACAAGATACTCTTTTAGACAACAGTGTGCATGCATTTATGTGTAATATTTATGCACCTATTTAGGCAATTATATAATATCTATTATATCATTTATACTATTGCAGAAAGTTTGCTTGAGAAACTTCACTCTGTATTATTTGGGTTCATTTCATCAAACATGTGTGACTTCTATAATTTAAGATTTTAAGCTATTTTATACTTGAAAAATAAATACTACTTCAGCTCCACCTCTCCCCACCCTAAAACCAAGCAAAAATAAGTGAGTGAAGACCAGAACCCAGGCTCACCATGCAGTGTCAGTACTGGCTTCCTTTGTCCCTGCTCATGACACGACCAGCACCGCAGAACAATGGACTGGAGCCCAGCCTTTCAGGCAGCACCAGGGCAGGAAGCTTGGGGACTCTGCAGGCCTCCCTCCAGCCACCCCGCAGCACATGTGTCATCCGAGGGCATCCTGGGGCTTGGGCTCTACATGCTGGACCACCGTGTCCCTGGAAATCCCCAGTGACCATTCTTTCTCGGCCCTCTGACCACCAGCTTCTCCCCTGCAGGTACTACATGAAACCTGTGTGGCCAACCGTGTTTTCTGGTGAAGAGCAGCTGCCCCAGGACTCCCCCAACCCCACTTCGGTGGCCCCAGGATCCAGTGACCCCCAGACACCACCCCTTGGCCCCATCCTGAAGAAGACCACTGGCCTGGGCTTCTGTATCGTCTATCTCTTCTTCATCAGCAGCCTCATCTTCCCCGCCATCTGCACTAACATTGAATCCCTCAGCAAGGGCTCAGGCTCGCCGTGGAGCACCAAGTTCTTCGTCCCCCTCACCACCTTCCTCCTGTACAACTTTGCCGACCTGTGTGGCCGGCAGATCACAGCCTGGATCCAGGTGCCAGGGCCCAGAAGCAAGGTGCTCCCTGGGCTCGTGCTCCTCCGGACCTGCCTTGTCCCCCTTTTTGTGTTCTGCAACTACCAGCCCCGCGTCCACCTGCACACGGTGGCCTTCCAGTCTGACGTGTACCCAGTGCTTTTCACCTCACTGTTGGGGCTCAGCAACGGCTACCTCAGTACTCTGGCTCTCATCTACGGGCCCAAGATCGTGCCCCGGGAGCTGGCTGAGGCCACCGGGGTGGTGATGACCTTTTACGTGTGCCTGGGCCTGGTGCTCGGCTCTGCCTGCTCTGCCCTGCTTGTGCACCTCATCTAGGAAGGGCGATGACTGGACTTCAGTGCTGCATGGTGACTGGGAGCTTCAGCAAGAGGGGCAGGAAGTGCCAGAAGGGCCCAGGTGGCTAGCAGGAGGGGCTGGAGTTGGTCTCTGCAGAGCGCAGCATGCACCCGGGCCTGGTTGCTCCCAGGGAGCTGGGACCAGTGCCATTCCCAGGCCAGGCAAACATTCCAAACACTTCAACAGACATCCTGAGACATTTCAGGACCAAAGACACCTGAATAAGACACAGTTACCAGTTACACAGTCAGAAAACTCCTTGCCAATGGGCATATTCCTCCTGTCATTATTCCCTCTTGGGAACTGTGTTGCCAGTATTTGGCTCTGAGTTGTTAGAGGGCGAGTGCCAAGACCGTCTCTAGTCACTTTGCCTTCTCCCAGCCTTGCTCCTTCTAGCTGATGGCAAGATGTGAGACTCCTTAGCCCTCCTACCGAGGGGAAGTCCCCCTGGGATGGCCAGTCCTCAGGCCTAAGACCCAAGCCTGTGCAGACCCCCTGTTCCACTAACCAGACCGCAACCCCAGGAAGACAGGTCTTCTAGGAGCCCTTCATTCCCTGGACGTGGGCTCCAGAGGGCCTCCCTGTGTACACGGGACCAAGCATGTCAGGCCTGGATTTCAAACAATGATCCTTCAAATGGTCTGTGGCCTGGGTCAGGACAGGTTTTATGTCCATGTTTACAAAATGTCAAGGCCATTGGTTCAAGGTCCTAATAAATACCTGGGTATTTAATGAAAGCCTTATTGATGGCTGTTTTAGGGTCTTGGTAGGAAATAGTATACTCAAATTGAGTAATTTAAGAATATTTGAAGAGTGGATATAGGAACCCTAAGGGGTTATGCATTATATCCCAAAAGTAGTAAGGTGGTTCTATTCCAGGCCTGAAGGGAGAGACACGCCCAGCCTGCTGTAGCCCACAGGATGTATCCCTCCCTGCCATCCCTCTATAGCAGAGAATCAGGTGGAGAATGGAGAGTGGATTGGAGGGGCAAATGTCCAGAGGGAGCCACCAGACCCTTCACTTGCATGAGTTGCTTTATTACGAGCATCAGTAGAGCTCTGAAGCCTTGTCAACAGAATTAGATGTTCCTTTGTCCTGGCTTGTTCTGAGTAGTTGTGTGTTTCGAAGTTGTTGTTTCCAAAGGCAGTGCTCATGTTCTGAGGCCCCTACATGCTTGTGATCACCTGACATGAGTAATAATTTGTACTTTTTCAGGTTCCTTGAAGGCTCCCACAAGGCTGTTTCTTGGGAGAGCAGGCTGATGTGGGAATCGGAGAAAGGGACTAGATCAAGCAGGAATTCTTTCTCAAGAATCGTCCTGGAAACACAGAGCTTGCCTCCAAGAAGTGGCAACCCTGAGAGACATAAATCAAGGAGCCCCTGCTCTGCAGAGTGCCTGATCTGAGATGTCCTGCAGACAGCTGATTAAACCAGGAAGCAGCCAGTAATCCACCCAATGGCAGCAGATTATGTTCCCCACCGACTCAGGCTAGTGCACACTCCTTTTCTTTCACCAGAGATTGAAAAGGACACCCTTGAAAGGTTTTCTGAAACCTGATACTTGAAAAAAAAAAAATTTTTTTTTTAATTTTAAAAATAAATTATCCCATCTCCCCTGCCCTAACAGGAAGCTGAAATCTCCCCCTTGGTTTTTTTCACTGCCTTCAGTGCTGTTGATTATTTGGGGCATCTGTCTGGCAGGTGACTCCTCTCAACCTCAGGTATCTTATAAATGGGCAGCATGTCTGTGTGAAGGTAAAACGGCAGTCTCTGAGCTCGGAGCTGGGGCCCACCTGGAGGTAACAGAGGAGTGAGGGTCTCGCGTGCTCTGTTGAAGAGGGGTCGCTTTCCTCTGCTAGTGAGATGATTGGAGATTGGCGTGAAGTGAGAGGGGCAGGAGGGCGGCCAGCCGTGTCGGTGCAGCGCTGTGGGAACTGAGATGATGGACTCTATCAGTGCCAGAGCCAGCACCGCTGCTAGAGGCAGGGCCGGCTGCTTGGCTGGTGGGAAGAGTATTCAGGTTTTTGCCCACTCTTCTTTGTTGCTCACTTTAGTGGGCATTTTGCAAAGGATCGTTTCTTCTCAGGAAGGGAGGAAGGAAAATAAAAACACATCTCCAAGTAGAGGGGCAGACCGTGGAGTTCAGGCACCCTTGTCCCCAGGTTCCTGTAACAACCGCTTATGGGGCTTGGCTGCTCTGGGTCTCAAGTCTCATGTGACCCCAGCAGGCTTGTGGAACTAGCTCACATGTTCTGGGTGTGAACAAAACTTGCTAAAGAGAAGGGAATTTTTCAGTGACAGAGGTGGAGAGGGAAACCTGAGACGTTGCCTTTGTCTAATAGTTCTCTCATTCAATCCCAAGTGGCAGTTTTTAGCACATGCCCTTGTGTATTTCCAGACATTGTCATTTTCCTCCTTTCATTCAAAAAAGAAAGCCAGAGGCAGTCAAACGACTGACTGTTTAACTAGTGGGTGACCAGTTCCTGCACCCATGAGGACATGAGGAGGCTGGAATCAAGGGTGGATTTTATTAACAAAGACCCCCATTCTGCTGTCTTCAGCCCAGTGCTGCCAAGGAGATTTGGGGCCTTCTAATTAGCTTGGACATGCCACGGGGTGGGGTGGAGGGGTCACTGCAGGACCTCAGCTTCTGAGACTGTGGAATGCTTTAACAGAGAACACCAACTAATAGAGGGAAGGCCAAAAGTCAGTTGAAAGAAGATTTTATTCCACTGGAGGTTAAATTTAAATAAAAGATGTTCATCTTTTTTAAAAAACTGTGTCATAGTTGATTTACAATGTTGTGTTAATGGCTGCTGTGCAGCAAAGTGATTCAGTTGTACATGTATATTTTTATAATATTCTTTTCCATCATGGTTTATCATAGAATATTTTTGTAAATTATTTATGTATTTTTGACCATGCCGGGTCTTTGCTGCTGTGCAGGGTTTTCTCCAGTTGCGGTGAGCAGGGGGCTGCTCTCTAGTCGTGGTGCAGAGCTTCTCACTGCAGTGGCTTCTTCTGTTGTGGAACATGGGCTCCCGGGCGTGGGGCTTCAGTAGTTGGGGCACGTAGGTTCAGTAGTTGTGGTTCCCGGGTTTTAGAGCACAGGCTCAATAGCTGTGGCCCATGGGCTTGGTTTGTCCTTGACTATCATAGGGTATTGAATATGGTTCTCTGTACTACACAGTAGGACTTTGTTGTTCACCCATTCTCATAAAAGCTTAGGTCTGCTAATCGCAACTTCCCACTCCATTCCTTCCCCAACTGCTTCCCCCTTGGCAACCACAAATCTGTTCTCTGTGTCTGTGTTCTGTGTTTCTGTTTTGTAGATAGGCTCATTTGTGTCACATTTTAGATTCCACGTGTAAGTAATATATTTCTCTTTCTCTTTCTGACTTACTTCACTTTGTATGATTATCTCTAGTTGCATTCATGTTGCTATAAATGACATTATTTCATTCTTTTTTATGGCTGAGTAGTTTTCCATCATATATGTACACCACATTCTCTTTATCCATTCATCTGTTGATGGACATTTAGGTTGTCTCCATATCTTGGCTATTGTGAATAGTGCTGCTGTGAACATAAGGGTGTGTGTTTCTTTTCAGCTTATAGTTTTGTCTGGATGTATACCCAGGAGTGGGATGCTGGATCATATGGTAATTCTACTTTTAGCTTTCTGAGGAACTCCTATAGTGTTTTCCACAGTGACTGCACCAGCTTACATTCCTACCAGCAGTGTAGGCACATCCTCTTTTCTCTACACCCTCTCCATTGCTTATTATTTGTAGACTTTTTAATGATGACCATTTTGACTGGTGTGAGGCAGTACCTCAGTGTAGTTTTCATTTTCATTTCTCTATTAGCGATGTTGAGCATCTTTTCATGTGCCTATTAAGCCCATGCTCATCTTAATCCCATGTGAAAATATCTAGTTCCCACTTTACCAGCATCACTTCCTTGGTGGAAACTTGGTCAGTGCCGTTTATGCCTGGGGCTCAAGTCAGCTGCTACCCTCCACCTGTCAGCTGGGGTCAGCCCAGTTTCCAATCCAGCTTTGACCTCGGCAGGATCCACTAGGAATTTCAGTCCACTAGCCGGTGGAGGCAGGGACTAGCCACCTAGTCACAGACCTCTCCTTGAAGCTCAAAGGAGACCCAGGGTCTTGGTCAGCCTTCCCATCAGCTGCCCAGACTTCTGGCTCATTGCGCCCTGTGCCACAGCTTTACCTACATTATTCCCCCATCTGTAGATGAACATAGTGAGGCTCAGAGAGGTTAAGTGACTTACCCAAGATCACTCGGCTACTAAGTGCCCAAGACAAGAAACCCAGTTCTTCCTAAACTCCGAGGTCCTCACCCAGCCTGCCTTCATGCTTCCATGTTGAACTCCCACTTTCTCCTTGGTTCTGTTGCCTCTCTTTCTTACTCTTAGATTACTAAGTGTTGTTCCGAGTAGCTGTTGCCCAGAACCCTGCCCTAGTTGATATGACTAGTGCAGCTGACCAGAACCCCTGCTGGACTGAGCACCTGTGGGTCCAGACCCGAGGCCACATTAGGCTCACCACTCCGACCACGCCTTGTTGGGCGTGGGCTCTTGGGCTGCTTCCAGTCTGCTCTGTCCAGTCCATGTCAATCCCCAGCCCCTGCCCTCCTGGTCCCATGTCCACATCTCCCCCACACCAGCCCAGCTGCTGAGGTCACCCCAGCATGGCTGCTGCTGGACCCATCTTTGGACCCAGGGTGGCAGCTGGGGGTCGGGAAGCTTGCGCCCAGCCCCCCCAGGCTGTGTGAGTCATGAAGCCACCCTTGAGTCAGTTTCCTCATCTGTAAAGAGGGGTGACAAGTCCAGGCCACCTGCTGTGCCAGTGAACCTCCAAGCACACCCAGTCATGCCCACTCCCCAGCCCACACGGGCAGGGTGACTCAAAGGGCACACCCTCCACTCCCACCCAGGACCTGGCCACACAGGAAGGGCAAAGGCAGCATCGGCCTCAGAGGAGGAACTCCGCTTCAGGCTGCTGTGGACTTGACCTCAAAGGAGAGCAGTGAAGTCGGCTGTGCCCTCTGCCCCATGAGACTCCAGCCAGCTGATGCTTTGCACTCCGCTGAAAGCAGTTCCTGCCCTCAGCTACAAGTTAAAGGGTACCCAGGGTCTGCAGCTTGGGATGGAGGAGTGACTCGTAAGCTTCTGGTGCCCAGCACATGCTGGAATCCTGGTTCTACCACCTGCTAGCTGGGTCGCTTTGGTCTGGTCTTGCAGATACTTTCTCATATCTAAATGAGAAGCCTCTCAGGGCTGTCGGAAGGGTTAAATATGTCCCCATATTGTAAGTCAAAGTACCTGGCGTGTAGCAGGTCCTCAGTGCATGTGTTTTCTGCAGTTTTTAGTGGTTCCTGGAGAGTCGTGGTGATGCCCAATGCATTCCCTGTGGCAGGTACCCTGTACCCAGTGCTCATTCCCCCCTTGTCTGGCCCCCAGGCTCAGCACTTATCTGCACCAGCACCTCTAATGCTGATGCCTCCTCTTTGATACCCAGGCCCCTGCCTAGGTCATGCCTGGCCTGGGGTGGGCAGGGTGCACCAAACAGAAAACTGGAAATCCAAGACCCCAGACCACGCTCTGCCCCCGACTCTAACTTCTGGCCAAGACACTTCACTTTGTTTCTAAACCTCAGCTGGAAATAATGGACACTCCAACATTTATCCTGCCTTCATCATGGACATGTGGCCAGGTACCCAGATGCCCTTTAAAACACGGTTTTGTCCAAAATGGTTCCATGGGTCTGCACTCGAGCCAGGACTGTCTGGGTCCGAGCCCTCACCACTTCCTAGCTATGTGACCACTGGCAAGTTCATCTGACTCTATTCTCTCAACTGACCATGGGGGCGATTGTAGTCCCATTTACCTGACTAACCATCAGTACTAACCCATTGCCCTCATTTGTTTTCCTCACTGGATGCTGGGCATGGCCCTGCATCCCAGTTCCTGGCCCCTCCCATGCCCCAAGGGCTGCCTATCGTTGGTGCCAACAGAGTCCACTTGGAGGAGCTTCCCAGGAATGTGGCTTTATGGTGCTGCTCATCCAGTGATGTTTTTAAAAAGGGAAAGAGAAGAAGAAAGGAAGGGAAGGGAGGAAGGAAGAGAAAAGAGGAGATGAGGGTGGGCTGGGAGTCTGGGGTCCACTCTAGGATGCAGGTAGGTTTGTGAATGGGAGTGAGAGGGTATCACTTAAGTCTGTTAAGTGCCGAGTTCTAGAAAGATTCCAGCTGTGTCTACTGGGTCTGTCTGGAAAGTACAGATGCTTTCCTTTCCTGTTCTCACCTACCTGCTTCACCTGTCTACCTTTCGGTGGAGGCAGCTGGAAAGGCATTTCTGGCCCATGGGACAACACTCTGCTTTGTTATCCCCAAGTGGGTTTTGGTGCCTTTAGCCCTGGAAGAGCACTCATTGGATGAGGTGTTTCTCTGCTGGGTGGTGGATGTCAGAGACCATGATTCTAAGGAGCAGGCCTGGCTGCCGTAGCCTGGCAAGGGTATGGTCTGCATCACAGTAAAGGAGGGGCTGATGAATGAGCACCTGTGATGGCCAGGCTGTGCCCGTACAAGAACCCTGCATCCCATTTCACAGAAGGGTAAACTGACACTCAGAGGGGTTAAGTCAGCGAGAGGCTGAATTGGAATACAGACCAGGGCTGAGACCAAAGCCTGTCTTATCTCCTGTCCATGCAGCTCTTTTAGAGGATTGTGTGTGTTAGTCAGTCAGTCCTGTCTGACTCTTTGGGACCCCATGGACTGTAGTCCACCAAGCTTCTCTGTCCATGGGATTCTCCAGGCAAGAATACTGGAGTGTGTTGCCATTCCCTTCTCCAGGGGATCTTCCCAACCCAGGGATTGAACCCAGGTCTCCTATGTTGCAGGCAGATTCTTTACCATCTGAGCCACCAGGAAAACCCTAGAGGATTGAGGTAGTGCTGTCAAGTTAAATGGTTTGCAGATCTGAGGAGCCCCAGGCCACATGCTCGGTAAGTGGGATGAGGCTCCAGGAGGCTAGATTAACCTGTCCAGTGTGAGTGACAGCGGTCACCCAGTCTGCCTTCGGTGCCTCTGTGGGGTGTGGTGTGGAGGTCACTGGTCTTCAGGGACCAAGGCTACAGTCTTTACGGGAACTTGAACCACAAGCTCACCAAATCAAAGGCAAGGTTTACAGAGATGTGAGAGGCAGGAGTGTCACTGTGTGGACCTTAACCTGTCAGACGCCTTGCGTGTATCTGCTCCAGGGCCCGCCTTCCCAGGCAAGGAGTAAAGTGTGACATTCTGGGATGAGCACACCGCCTGTGCTACCCTGCAGATTCTTCTAGACTGCGTCCCGGAGCCCCAGGGAGACTGAGGTGCCTCAGCCCTGCTCTTCTGGAAACAGCCGTGTGTTGCCAGTGCACCTCCCCCACAGTTCACTCAGAACAGAAGACAAGGGACCTTTTCCCCAGCAGTCTCACCCGACAGCCTCCATCTCTGCCGCTCTGGCCCCAGTCCTGCTCCCTGGAGTTCAATGAGGGCATAATGTCTGACACCCCTGAACTTCTAAATCCTTCTTACTTACTTCTAAGACTCTTACACAGGTCTCGACTGGGGATCCCTGGATGGAACGAGAGGCTCACGGAACCCTGAGATCATAGTCAGAAGTTGGGATGCTTCTCATGGACCAAGGGGCTATAGCTTCCATCAGATTGTCAAAGGGTCTGTGTCGTAAGGCTTCAGAGGCCCTG